GGCTTTAATTAGGTTTTGGTTTTGTAATTAATGGGAACAAACTGAAGCTATACATTGTGTTAATGAATTAATCAGTCGAACTGTGTTGGTTGGGGTTAAGTAAATCTATACTGAAGTCACCACATATGTGTTTGATCTTGTGGGTTTTACTGGCAAATAGTTCCTCTATGCTATACTCTTAACTCTATATCTTAATTCTAATTCCTAATAAATTCTGGGTTTGTTTGTTTTTTTCCTTAAAAAAAGTACCAGTAAGAGTACTGCTTATTGATCCCGTACTTTAAGAGTAAAGTAATCTGTATCAGTAAGAGTAGTAGTACCATTAAGATCGTATCCTTAATTAAACCGTGTTCTGGACGTCCTCTGTCTCCTCCAACAGTGTTCTATGTGACCTGCAGACAGAACCAGAGTGCTGCTCACCTTTTAGGGATCTTCCTGTGATCGTTATCAGGCTTCTGCAGACCTTGATGATGAGCTGATCATTTGAATCAGGTGTGTTGGAAGAGGGAAACATCTAAAACATGCAGGATTGCGGCCCTCGAGGACCAGGATTGGATACCCCTGCCACAGAGGCTCCTCGTCAACCTTCAGCTCCACCATCTGCTGGATCAAGATCTGGGGCTGGACTACCCCTTCTCTGCTGGCCAGTTAGCCAGCACCGAACCAGCCAGTTAACTGCCTGCCAACATTGTGGGATTGTGGTAATTCTCCTGGGCTGGAGGTTTGTTTGACATGCTGCTTCCATGACTTTTCTCTGGATAGAGAGCAGAAGGTACTAAAATAAAGCTGTGTAAGACAGGGCCAGTGGTTTGATTAACTTTGCTATCTTCATGTTGGGGCTGCAAGGTGGCTCAGGGGTTAGCACCGTCGCCTCTTGGCAAGAAGGTCGCTGGTTTGCGCCCCGGTGAGGACACCCGGGATCTTTCTGTCTGGAGTCTCCATGTTCTCCCCGTGCAGCGTGGGTTCTCGCCGCGTTCTCCGGCTTCCTCCCACAGTCCAAAAACATCTTGAGGCGATTCTAAATTGTCCATAGGTGTGGATGTGAGTGTGCTTGGTTGTCTGTCTCTAAGTGTAGTCCTGTGATAGACTGGTGACCTGTCCAGGTGAACCTGCCTTCACCCTGAGTCAGCTGGGATAGACTCCAGACCCCCATGACCCTAGTGAGGATTAAGCGGTGTATAGATGATGGATGGATGTTGCCTGTTTGTTTCAGAAGAGTATTTGTGCAAGAGAATAACCCCTGGCTTGGTGCCTGAAGTCATTAAATAGAGAGACATGTTTTTCGTGCCCCCAAATTCCTCCCTAACAATTATGTGCAGGAAGCGGATTCATTAAAATATCAGAAAATAACTTTAGCTTCAGCATAAACTAATATCACAAGAATTAAATGAATACTAACCTAACTCATTCATGAAACAGACGGGTTATTTGGGAGTGTGTCAGAACAACTATACAGAAAGGGATGATATTTCATTCTATCCTACTGGGGCCAAACAACAAATGGTTTCCACGTCAAAAATTGCTGTTTAAAATGATGCAAGTAACAGACTGAAAAAGCTGCAATTTAAAACATACAACATTAAATAATCAGACTAACGCTGTAATCAGCTTTTATTTAATTTGAGCAGATTGAACCTTTCAGGAATGCTTTCCCAGTGATGTATGTCTACTGTATGTCGCTGAGGCATGCTCACTGTGGTTGGGCTGCTCTCATTCAACAGCCACTTGTACATTTCATAGCAAGCATCACATCGTTCAGCCCTGTTTCCTACTATGGTACTACAAACTGCATCAAAGGCATGTTGAGGTAAAAAAAAAAAAAAAGAACAACAATAATAAACAAAAGATTATAAAAAATTGTTTTTAAGTGAAGTGTGATTGTACAGCATTAACAACATCAAGCAGCATGTATATGAACAGGAGACACTACAATACAGACATGGACATTTTTACTAGTTGTTTTTTTTTTACAGCGGGTACTTCACAATAACTGAACTGAGCTTTTCTTTACCAGGCGTTTGTTTCATTATTGACAAACTGTTTGTGCACAGCGAGGAACAGCTGATCATTAGCTGCATTTCTAACATATAATTACTGATATGGCAGTTCAAGCACCTGATAAAGACTTAAACTCAAATTTTCTGCATGTGTACAAAAAAAACCCCACTTGTTGAGATCATAATGTGTAAAGGCACGTCTAATGTCGTTTGAGTTTAGGTATGCATAGGTTGTAGGAGTTTCCAGAATGTTTTTAGAGGTTATTATTAAAAACACCCTGGTTTGTGTGTGTGTGTGTGTGTGTGTGTGTGTGTGTGTGTGTGTGTGTGTGTGTGTGNGGGGGGGGATGATGAAGGCACAGATATATATATCACAACTAAAACGAGTCTGTTAAACGTTAAATGTGGTTCAAAAACAAAAGTGGCTGCATCAGGCAGGACTGAATAACAAAAACACACACCATGAGGGAATGGTTAACAAGCCAGCACACCTTTGCACTGACGGTACATGTACCTGATCATGAAAAATTACTATTTGTCATAAAATAATTAATGTAAAAGATTTTTAGCAACTGGATTTCTTTTCCATGTAGGTCAGATTGAAGCCTCAGACATTTTACAGCCCACACTGTGATGTTTGTTGGAGCTCAACAACTGTAGCTGTAAAACAAGATTTCAGTTTGAACAATGTTGTATTTTGGTAAAATGACAAACAACCCACTGATGTATCCGTGGACTCTTGCATTTTAACTTCTGCAGCCAATTAGGTAAAGAAGATCTTTGAATCTTGAAATGCTCTCGTGTAACTAAGAGAAGCTCCTCCAAAGGTCACAACGTTCTGTGTAACGCGTTTGTCTGGAGGATAGGAATGTGAGGAACTGTTTTTACTTCAGGGGAATGGTTCATATGGTTTTGAACTTTTGAAACACTTTGAGTAACCTAATTACCGTCAGTCTGAAAATGAAGCTGTCTGATAGTTTTCTGAAGTTTCCAGTCTATCATCAACCTGCAATAGTTCCTCCTGAGGTGTTAGAGTTCCCACAGGGTCCATTTTCATCCAGATTTCAACAGAGCCCGGATGAAAACACACAGATACAGTACCAGCACAAAGGACCTTAACAATCTGTGGTAAAATTATGAACATAAAAATATATTAAGGCTGGCGTTGTGCTTTTTGCATTCAGTTCCATAACAGCTTCAAATCCCTACGAACAGAATGTCTGAACCAATAACAGATGTTTACAAGGTCCTTGACAAGACATTTTCTTTTTAGGGATTCAGCAACAAATACATCGATGTGAGATTTTGCACCAGAACAACAGTGGACTGAAATGTGTTGCAGCAAAAGGTTCCAGTCAAAACACACTGTTGCACGGAAACAAAGAAACTTCAAAAGATTTCACACACAAGGATTGTAGATTTCTGCAGTGGGGAAAAATAACAGCATTCATTTTGGTCTCAGTTAAATGTAATACATATTCAGTTACAAAACATCAGTGCGTTTCTAATTAAGTTCTTGTAATGAAACTTCCTTCAGTGGAATCGTCCTCCTGTCTCTGAAATGACATCAGTGTGCTGACCGCTCTTACCTTCTTTGGTCCAACATTTTTGGTTTTCAAATTGACATCTTCAGTCTAATTATATTAACTTAAAACGTAATTCTAACCCTAAAAGGCACAAAGATATTCGATTATGCGAAGGCTCGGATATCCTTGACTTTACGTCTTGATTTTAAACGAGGAGATTTTCTCTACCTCTGCTACAGCCTGGAACTGGCTTAACGAGCCACAAGTCACATAACAGGGACGATGCAGCGTTTTTAACACCACACATTTGTATGTCAGTATGTTGAAATAAAAAACATTCGTCTCAAAATATTACCACTTACTTTAACAACATTCTTGGGCAATGACATTACCTTACTCAAAGATGATTTCATTTATTTTTAAGACTGGACATGTGCTGACTTTTTAAGTTGATGGTCGTATTTAAGTTCTTTTACGTCTACAAAGTGAACATAAATACATTTTTGCCAACCTTGGTCAAGAGCACAAGACACTGGGATTAGAGGCTAGCTCTGAAATCCAACGGAAGACATTTATAATCGGAAGCAAACACTCGACTGTGCATAGTATAAGGCAAAGCAAATAATACTTGTTCATTGTTGCATTCATTTCATGTGAAAATCTGAACCCACGAATGAAACCTAAACTCAATGAAATGGCGAATGCTTCTCGTGGTTTGTTTTGATCACCAGTCAGATGGAGGGCAGGCGCGGTAATGCAAGTACCAGAATAGTTGAATATTCACAATAAGCGAATATTCTTATGTCACCTTTATGCTATGCTGTGCATCATGCTAAAAGATACAACGAAAAAACTGCTTTTAAACATATGAAATGAAATGTTGAATGAATACATACGATAATGAATAAGATCCTGCCTGAGAGTGACTCCGGCCAGCCTCTCAGTCCCTCCTGTTAAATCTAGCATTCCATATTAGGGTGTTTAATAAAGACCTTACAATGAGTGTGTACTGACCCGTGCAGCTGTTTGACCTCAGGTGGCTTAGGTTTCAAGAACAGAGGTTGCTAGGCTACCAACCTTTTTTTTAAAGTAAGGAACTCTTCTCTACTTTTTTGTTTTCAGAATAGCTAAAAATCATCCAAGTATATTTTCTAAATGCATCCCTGACAGCAAAAAAAAAATTTGTTGCCATTGAAAGCAGATGCAAATGTACAGTGGCGACATTAAGAAGTTTCCTACTTGGTGCAGACGTCGTAAAGGAAGAGCAGATTTTAACAAAATAGGATAGCTCAACAAATTGAGCAGTTTTACTCAAGAAGCCGTGCCTCCCTGAAGTTTATGTGCCACAAAGGTCATGAACACCACATATTTAGAATCTTATTCCCAGTACTTCTGTAATGGTTGTACCAGCACTGAACAGGGCCACTGAGATGCCGGTTAGTTTGCACCAGAAGTGGAACAAGTCTGCGATTTGTAGGGCGACATCTCAACTGACTAATCGAACACACCCTACACAACACACACTTTACACAGACAGTACATGAACAATGTGAATACCCTATTTACACAGTTAATAAAGTTTTTTTTTGTTTTTTTTTGTTTTTAAATCATATTATCAGTTTACATACTTTCTAATTACCCAAGTGCCATGTTTAACTACAGTAAAAAATAAGCTTCAGACATAAATACAAAACCTAATGACTCAGACTTCTTAAAGTAATATAGCAAAAAGAAACACTCTTAAAACATAAGTAGTGCAACAAATGCAACAACAGGTAGCCAGTATATTTGGTCCACCGAAGCTAACCTCCATCAACACTATACAGGAGAGTTCAGAGATCAAGCAGGAACAAGCTGCTTTCTCCGACAGCGTCTTTTATGATTTTTTTTGCTTGCATGTTGTAAATTTTTTTACATTGTACCCTCGCAGATGTTCCTACATGTGCTGAACTACTGGTGCCACAGTAATCTGTACACTAAGTAACAGTGTGTAGGTTTAATAGGTCAAAACGTAGGCACATCAGGAAACACCTACAGCAACTAAACATTAAAATCCTTCACCTCAATGTAAAAGCTGAAAATACACCTGTGTGTGTGTGTGTTTGTGTGTCGATGTGTATTCTCGCTGTGACAAAAGCTCTCCGCTGTTTGTCCTTTTCATATTGTTTCCATTTCACTGGTGTTAATCTTGTTAAAATTTAGAGGCACACACACAAATGAAAACAGTCTAACCAACCTTCACCATCATTCACAAAGTAAACCTTCCCCATCACTGCTAACAAGACAGTGCCAAAGGCAACTTATAAAGTTGCATTAGAAAAATAAATATGAGGCTATGAACTGTGGCCTTTTTAGTTCCAGTCACCACTTCATTCACACATGCTTTTAGTCTAACTGAGATGAGACAGGTAGGGGTGTTGCACTTTCTGCTTTCTGATTCCTTTCTTCATCGTTTATCATCTGGTCAAAAGATAAACGATGATTCGGTGAAGGAATGAAGGCAATGTGTAAAAATCCAGTGAGGCTGGAAGTGTTTGAGTGAATTTACATGTAAACACAAAGGTGTAAAAATGTCTCATGACAGGTCTGTCAATGCCAACAGAGCTGCAGGTTTGGAGGATGAGCCAGGGTGCTTTACTTGTCTTGGGATGTTTCTTCTGATGAAGCTACCATCTTATCATCCACTTGGATAATGTTTACTTCCATAAGTCATGAGATCAGATGAGGATCTCCACCATGTCTGCATCGACCTCCTGTTGTGTGGCTGGGGCTGGAGGAGGAACCTGATGTGATGGATGGGCCTGCACGGGGAGCCTCCGCTCCAGAGTGCTGCTGTGTAACACTGGTACATCTACACACAGGTGACACAAACATAGGAAAAAATCACCTGTCAGCTTTTCTGGAATACAAATGATTCAGTACATCTGTTCTGTAAACCTCTAATGTTGTAGGTTAGCCGGTATTTCCTATACAGGAAATTAGAGATATCCTGCTAAATTTGCTGGTGAATCCATGAAGCTAAGACTGTGCTGCACTGACTCTCCGGTTAGGCTGCTCCACCCTGGAAAGTGTGGTACGTTTTTGGCTGTGTTTTACTGACTCTGACTATTAAACAGCAGGTATAATACAGCTGTAATATTTAAGGATTTAAAAAAAGCATCATACTAAACCAAAAATATCACCCAACAGTAATTACTACAATTAATACAGTGTTTTTGTTGCTTGTGATTGTACCAACTTCAGGGGTTGATGTATTTTTGGGGGGATGCTCATCATACATGCGACAATACTGTACGCACACAGTACCCTGGTACTTTACATTATACTAGTGTAGTGCAGTAGGTCGTAAAATACGTATTCTGCACACGACTGCCAAGCATGAACACTATTACCCCTTGTAGTGTAGTCCAGGTGGACACTAATCTTGGGCTGTACATGAATGTCGCAGACAAGTCTGTACAGATCTAAAAGCAGACCCTTGTGTACTCATGAACACAGCAAGTACGACACCGGTGTAACATGTCTGACAGACAGTGTGAGCTGACCTGCTATGCGGTCGGGGATGTAGACAGGGCTGGGGTTGGTCAGACGGGCAGGCAACGTCATGCTCTGGAGGGCTGGAGTGCTGGGCTTGCTGGTGTCCTGACTCTGACCTTTGTCGGTCTGTGTGCAGCTGTCCCTGCTGCCCGTCTTTGAATGGCCTGCAGTCATCGGTGTTGATGGCAGTACTGGGGAGGGGGATGATGAGATTGACTCTGCCCTGAGAGACTCTGTGCGAAACTCAGGACCCAGTAGAACCCCTGGAGAAACATGAGAACAACTTTACCTTAAAAGCACTGACAGTAAAACATTTTCTACAAGTGATTTTTACCCACAGAACCATTTCAGCTGCTTCTCTTAAAAGTGTCACTGTGGAACATCTTCTGCATTAGCTGGAAAGGCTGTTGGTTCTTACCCAGACTGCCCTTCCAGCTGGTGTCCTTGCGCTCTTCTGTGATTGGTGAGCTACTGAGTCCCAGGCTGTGAGAGAGAAGTCCTGAACCACCAGAACCAGTGTTGGAGATGGACATCAGGGACTTGGAGGGCCGCATGGCAGACGGTACATCTGATTTGATGGGCTCCTTTCTAGAGCGCTGGTGGAGCACCTTGATCATGGCGTCCTTCTCAATGATTTGGGCATGGAGATTCTTTATTCTAGATTAGAGAGGGGTAGAATGGAGCCATAGTTACTGTAGGACAGTGCGACACTGGGAATTACAGGAGTCTTGTACTGAGAAAAACACTGATTTTCAGTTCTGCTCCACTTCATGTTCATGTCAGCTTTTTTTTTTTTTCCTTTTTCTTTCAATAATCAGAAATGAAGTCATAGGAACTGACAAGCATCTTGCATCATTAGCACTAAAAGGACACAGGTGGGGAGTTCTATCAACAGTAGAGCAGGTTCACTTTTTCCAAAAAAAAACACAGATATAACATTTTCATGGGCCTTATAATGTCTTTGAGAAAACTAGAGGCAGTTCTGTGGCTCTGTGGAGTCAGACACAGTTATGCTGCTGATCTGCTTTGCTCATCAAAGCATTGAACCACACTAGTTCTAACACCAGGCTTTTTCACTCTCCATCCAGATGTTTGGTACGCAGAGTTTACACCCATTTGTCAGTGATAATCAGTCGACAGTTAAGTATGGATGACAACTATATCGGGCACTTTGAGAACTTTCCTTTGCACCATGTGCCAGCTTAGGTCTTATTAGTTTGATTAACACCTGGAGAGAGCAGAAACAAACTGTTCAGGACACACTGAAGAACCTAAAGCCTAAAACCGGAAAACAAAACCTGATCACAGAGAAACTTGGATGATAACCTTCTCAAGTTAAATGAACATTTACAAGGCTGTACTGAATTCAGTGCTTCCATGTCCAGGTCCCAGGGAGGTGCATGTATATGTCAGTTTGTTTACCTGCTCTCCATGTCCAGACAGCGCCGATTGGCCATGAGAATCTCCTCTTCTTCCTTCTGGATACGAGCCTCAACCGATGTATCGTAGCTGCTGCTGGGAGAGTGGCTTATCACTGCTGCAGATGTATCCCTGAAAACCACAACATGGTTCAGAGGTGAGCATTTCAGACTTAGTTCCTTCTTCAGCCCGGGAGTGGTATGACTACTTACAGCATATGCATAGACTTCCACTTATTTCCAACATGAATTAAGGTAAGATTTGACTTTTTTGTCACTGCACAGAGCACAACAAAATGCAGTGATTAGCACATCCCAGCTTGTTTCAGTCTGCTGCCTTCTGGGAAAAGATACTGGAGCCTCTTGGCTGGTATCCACCAGACTGAGCAACAGCTTTACACACCAGGCTGTCAGGAGGCTGAACTCTCTCCCCTCCTCACCCCAACACAACATAACTCCAGCCATCTCCCTCCTTCCCCACACTCTTCCCATCTGCATGCTCCTCCCCCCTCAAACTACTTGAACTGCAACCAGCAACATGGATTTTAAGACCTCAGCACACAACCTTCCTTTTTTACAGCCAACACATCTGCTGGCTCGACTGTTCATCTTTATGGATGATAAACAACGTCGACATGTTTTGGGATGAGATCTCTTTAGAAGCTTTAAAGGATAAATAATTTGCCGCTGCTCAGACGTCAGACTCTGAGACTGTGGCTCACAATATGAAATGTACCTCTGAGTGGCAACAGATGCAGCGGCGTCCAGGGCAAACTGCCTCATCACACTTTCTTCCAAGTATTTCTGCTCCCATTTGGTCATATCGGCCTCCAGAGCCAGGATCCGCTCCTCCTTCTCTCTTAGGTGCTCCATAAGGGCTGTTGCGTTGTACTCTGAGGGGACCGCACCGCTGTTCTGAGAGCCTCCCTGGCGCTGGAAGAGATGAAGTGACATGTGATAAGTGAGGTAGAGGTCTATGTCTGGAGCTGTCAGCTTTTCAGTTTTTTTTTTGTTTTTTTTTTAAATAAAATGTATTATGTATTAGATTTAAAACATTTAAAGAGTACGGCAATGGAGATGTTAATTTACAACTTGTTTAACAATAAAATTCACTCCTAGCTCTATTAAAAGGTCCTACAACTGCACTGTATCATCAGACTTGGTAAAAAGTCCTTTCATTGTCTTAAAACACATCTGTAGGTCTGTAAGTTCATATATTGCTACAATAAACACATTTGTGACATGGAGCCACGGTGCCATCTAGTGACACCAGCTGGTCTGGTGAAGTCAGAATAAATCACCATTAATACATTTGTTGCTGTTATTAGTGATTAAATATACTGATAGGAGAGATCAGTGAGTTATAGATATTATAGCCACACGAAGGGACCTGGGGGGATTGAACCACCAACATTACACTTAGTGGACAACCCACTTTACCACCTGAGTAAAGGTCCCCCCTGTATTTGTGTTTGTTGTCTGTAGATATTTGTTTGTTTTTGTCTGTTCTTTGTGTGTTACCTGTTGCATGCGTAGTGACTCCAGCTCTCTCTCCAGTCTTGTACGAAGTCTATGTTCAAGTTGTTCTCTCTTCTCGCAGGCTGCCTGAAGTTGAGCCAGAGCCTGCTGCATCCTCTCCACCTTCTCCACATAAACCTGCTTCTTTTTTAGCTACACACACAAGCACACACACACACAAATGATTCAGTGAATGCATGGCGTAAAAGAGCAGAAGCTCGTCAGAACTGTTTTAAACTTGACATGACTATTGCTGACCACTACTGGTAACATCATTACAGTGCAGCCTCACAGTTACAGCTAATGGTGCTATGATCTTTTTTTAAACTATTAAACATTCTGCTTCAATGTCTGTGAAGATTCTCAGTCATCCAGGTCATGGTTATTCTTGTAGTTTAATTGTAGCAACTGGACTTGCTTGAGTTCCTTGAAGACGTTTCACCTCTCATCCAAGAGGCTTCATCAGTTCTGACTGACTAGTTGGGAGATCCAGATACTTAATGGCTCCTTAAGGATATAAGTATCTAGAACTCCCAACTAGTCAGTCATTAGAACACCAGAGACTCTACTTTTTAGTCTTTATGATACTGTAGCATGTCGGAAATAAAGAAAACAAATAAATAAAACAACTGATGCTCAATAATGCATTACATTGTTTAGTGTCCAAACAAATAGAAATCTGTTGGAGAAAATGACTGATGCTGCCTATGCTCATGAGATGTATTCAAGTCCCTTCTATTCTCTTAGACTTATTCAGATCAGAGTGACTGTGTGAAAAAATAAAGAACAGACTGCAGGGATAAGAGGAGAGAGAAGACACGTGCAGGGCTGAGAATCCAAAGGCGTTTTCGTTATGATAGAGAAAAGAATGGAGGAAGAAAGAGGCTTGGAGCTCTTTTGTTCTGCTCAACAAGCAGGTGTTGTGTGGCAGAGGACAGCTTTTGTCCAGGTCCTGCCCATTTCCTGACCTGTACAGGATGCCATTTACCCCATGTGACATGTATAGTTAGAGATATTAAAGAAGCTACAATACGTCAATTACTTCTCTTCAGTGTGACTCTAATTAAAACAGTATCAACAGGGCATGGACGCCATCTGCAGCAGTATCAAGGGTGTGCATTTAGTATGTTTGGTGACTAATACAGACAATAATGCCGAAAGTAATTAGTATAAAAGCGCTATCCAACCCTGAATGTTTTGAAATGGTTGAGAGCAGCAAAGCATGTTTTGCTTCAGATCCTCTCTGCAGCTATTCCCATCCACAGCCACCAGGACCCACAGATAGGTCAGCAGATCTGTGAGGAGACTCTGGTGTAAGATACCAGGCCAACACTAGGCCAGAACGTTGGACGTAGAAGCAGTGAGGGATTTTCAACTAAAGACAAACATTGGTAACCGGGAGACACAAGCTACTTGCCAAGAATCCAAACAAACAATAAAGTGACCTGATTTTCAGAGGCGAATGTGCCTCGGTCCTTAAATTCTAAAAATAGGACCCAAATGTGATGAAGAAGCCTCTTTGAATTTACAGAGCAGCGTGTATAAATGTATACACTCTGTGAGTGCAAGTAAAACTGTGTTGTATTTCTTTAACATCACCATTTCAGCTTATTCAGTCACCGTTTACTTGGATCTAATACCTATGATCTGGCTCCTTCCTGTGGTCCACAACCTGCTAAAGATGTTTTGGTTTTCTGTTGTTTGATTTCACCAGAAGCACTTTCTCTACAAATAAAAAAGCACAGACTTATGGAGGCTGAACTACAGAAGTCATGGTTTCAAGGTCACCCCCTTTGTCACATGGCGTCATTCCAACTGTCTCCCTCTACTACATTTCCTGTTATGTCTACAACCGTCAAATCTCCAACAGAGATATGAAATTGTTCAAAAACCTAGTAGAAGCAAAGTTAATGACACGTGAAGTCAGCACTCGTTTCAATTTTGTTCCTCAATGGCAATAAAAAGGATGCATGCTGTTACTGCAATGCTGTACAGTCTCTAAAGGCGCACATGACATTACGACTGTTCCTGCCCTCTGTCTAATGTAAAAAGAAATCAAGCAGCAAGTCTCACTGGAACTTCAGCGCCGACATAACTAAACATAAAAACTATTTATTATGAATAGATGATAAACATGTGAAGAAATGATAAACTAAATGAACCTTAAGAGTAATTAGACTCATTCATGTTGAGCTTGATTTATAGTCAACATGAGGTGTTCATTAGAGTCCTGCAACTGATACATACAGTTTTAATTCATTATTCACTGTCATCCATCTCTACTGGCATCAGAAATAAAGGGATATGTAAAGGTTCCATTCAGAGAGAGGAGGACCCACGTGCAGGATGTGGAGAACTGGATTTTACTTGAGCTGATGCAAAATTACAGAAACAAAACATCCAGGTTGCTCAATACATTATTACAAAACTAAAGAAGGAACAGACCAGGGACCACAAAGCAGGATTTGAGGTTAGCGAGGTAACACCAAGTTTAGACACTTTCAATGCTACAACTGTGGCTCAGAGCACACATAACCTGCTCTGGATTATGTGCGACATTACAGACCGGCTCGTATAAAAGAACCGCCAACTGTCCTTGGCACACTGATCTTGCAGATCCATCAAAGGCTATGCAAGTTTCTCTCTGCTAAACTGGAGAGTTTAGAAATTCTTACAGCTTGCTTCTCGATTCTAAAGTTTTTCTAAATCGATCATTCCTCTGCATCACCACGCTGGCCAATTACAGTTGTTTTTATTTCCATGTGATCTCTATCACCACAGCAACCTGATGTGTAGTTGTGTTTATATGAGAACACACGTGAGCCTCTGCATGTGATCACGTGCTCCTTGTGGCTGTAAGCTGGAATGACTTTAGCCCAAACTGGTTGAGGTGCTTTTTCGAATGTGGTTGCCGCTTTATTTATCCTCCTAAATCAAACTTTTCTGATAACTACACAACAAGCAGTAGAAGCTGTTCTGAATACTACGAGTACATCCAGTAAGAACCTCACCTCTTCCTCCAGCTTGACCACTTTAGCCTGGGCGTTGTTGAGCGCCTGGTCTCTGATTTCGATGTGTCTCCTCTGGTCCTCGGTGGTGGAGCGCAGTGCATTCAGCTCCATCTCCAGCTTCTCCTTTTCACGCAGCGTTTCTTTGTCTGACGACACAAGAATATAACCTCATCTACAAAAACAAGACAGGGGACATCCTGGACAGGTCACCAGTCCATCTCAGGGCTACACAGAGAGACAACCAAGCACACTCACATTCACAGCTACCAACAATTTAAAATCACCAGTTAACCTCAGCATGTCTTTGGACTGTGGGAGAACCCGGAGAGAACCCGGAGAGAACCCAAGCTGCTCTGACAACATGCAAACTCCACACAGAAAGACCCCAGATTCAAACCCAGGACCTTCAAGCTGTGAGGCTGTGCTAGCTACACTACCACATGCCTGAATGAAAACATAATAAGGAATATTCCATTTCTGCTAATAGAGCCCCTTAAATTTTGAGACCTTTAATTAATGAATGGAATAAAGCAGTCTGTGTGGGCTCTCCTTGCTCTAGCAAAGCTGTGGGTAGTTTTGTTTTTGAAAAGGGCATATGCAGTCTACAGCATATCTATGGTGATCTCTTTATGTTAAATACAATAATTAGAACTTATGGCTCATGTCTGTGAAGATTCTCAGTCATCCAGGTCATGGTTATTCTGGTAGATTCATCGTAGCAACTGGACTTGCTTGAGTTCCTTGAAGACGTTTCACCTCTCATCCAAGAGGTTTCATCAGTTCTGACTGACTAGTTGGGAGTTCCAGTTACTTATAAACAAAGCAACGTGGTGTACACAGTCCAGTCCAGTGAGGAATGCCTTGACCTGTACATCAGGGAGACAAACTAACCCCTCCACAAACACATGGCTCAGCAGAGAAGAGCCAGTTCCTCAGGACAGGACTCAGCAGTCCACCTGCATCTCAAGGACAAAGGACACTCATTCAAAGACAATAATGTACAGATTTTGGCCAGGGAGGACAGATGGTTTGAGAGAGGGGCGAAAGAAGCCGTCTATGTCAAACTGGAAAGACCATCCCTCAGCAGAGGTGGAGGTCTGAGGCATCACCTCTCACCTGTTTACAATTCAGTCCTAAGATCTCTCCCCAGGAAAATGAAACCACATTCACACCTAGCCACAAAAGACCCTAATGAACCCCATTGTGGCAGGGGGAGCACTAACGACTCACATAATGAGGGGGAGGAGCAACAAACCCCCAACTGAAACCGAAACTCAGTGTTTATGGATCCTTAAGATATAAGTATCTGGAACTCCCAACTAGTCACTCAGAACTGATGAAGCCTCTTGGATGAGAGGTGGAACGTCTTAAAGGAACTCAAGCAAGTCCAGTTGCTACAATTAAACTACGTGAATAACTTATGGCCCGTTTTGTCATCCATGAAATGTATAAAGCTGTTGTCACATATCAAATAAATATGAATGCCATGAGAAGTCTTTGTGGGTATCTCAGATAATGTGTCTCTTCAGAAGGATTATTATTTTCTCTAAAAAATGTAGAATGGAGTCATTTTAGTTGTGTTTTGTTGTAGTGCCACAGGCTTGTCACAGACTTGAGAATCTTACCAGAGAAAACCAGCTTTGTTTGTTTTGGGACACATCCTGTCATTCAGACCATAAACTTATCCAGACATCGACATCATTCAGTGAAATCCTGAACGCTCCAAGGTGAGTGTGTAGCACTTACTCTGTGTGAGCAGCTGGGAGATGGTTTTGCGGTTGTCTTCTGAGCCATCACACTCTTTAGCAGCAAGCTGCTTGTTTGCCGTCTCCATGCGCTCTTTAACACAACATCACACAACACAAATGCTTAGTGTATTGACAAACATACTGAACATACTACGGTACTTTACTTGGTTTGCTCCAGTCAAATGGCTGAAGGTTTGCTCGATCTGCTATTGGCTGATATTTGGCAATGCATTTTATTACCATTTACAGGCTACAAAAACACTGTTTACTTGGATTACATTTCAAAAGTGTTCTTGTACTTGTCTCCTATAGTCCTATAGCTATAGTGATTTGCTGCAAGTCACCCCTATCTCCCTTTTCGGAGAGTCTAAAAACTTTCCCAAATAAAGAGGTAAGGGAACCTCCAGAAATTTTTCATAACATTGGCAAGATGTGGCCACTGAAAATCTTAGGGTGGCACACAAGCGGAATTTTGGTAATTGTATATGGTGTTGTCGTATAAAGGCTGGTTGAAAACTATGTCAGTATGACAGTTATGAAATGCTGCTCTACTTTGATTTCTTATTTAACAGTTAATGTTACCAATTATCTGATGTGCATCGACGGCTGTTCAAAATAGCCGGAGCTTGACAAGATCCATCCATCCATCATCTATATACCGCTTAACTCAAATGACTTCTGCTCTTGTGTAGTGTACAGCAGTTTTACAGTGTTTGACCAAAGTCTTGGTGAGCTGATGTACTCAAGCTAACGCAAATAAAGCAATTTATAATTAAATTGATCAGATTTATGAAGCGCTTTTCGAGGCACTCAAAGTTGCTTTACACTGTCAATTATTCATTCACACACATTCATTCCGGTGGTGGTAGCTACGATTGTAGCCACCTGAGCCACAGCCACATTGAGTTTATCCATGAACTTCTAAATACGTAACTTTGATAAACAGAGACAAGTTTTTAGATGTTTAATCAATGACCAGAGAGGAACTTTAAAGTTAAATTAAGGTCAGGTTAGGTTCAGGTTTAGATGAAGATAAGGATAATGTTTAGGCAAGTTGAGGTAAATATGTACATTTAAGATAAACAAACAATGGTCTTAAAAACTAATTTTACTTTTATACATGGTGATATGCCAACAAGCATTTCAATAAATGTTGCTTTTAGTTGTGACTATGGTTTGTCATATATGGGACTCATTAACCTGTCACCCCTTCTCCCCAGTAAATTACTGGAAATGTTTTGAATTTGTTGGAAAGACAAAACACACAACTTGTGTCTGATTTGCAAGTTGCAGTAGGAATGTGATTCAAACAATTACAGCAGGGCAATTTCACCTTCCGGCTCACTCACCTCGGAGGTCCCTGTTGAAGTCATGCAGTCGACGCACCTCCAGCTCTAGCTTGTTCCTCATGGTTTTCTCCAGGGCCTCCCTCTTGGAGGAGGACTTAGCAAGGTTTTCATAGGCTTCTGATACCAGCTGTATCTCTGTTTCCAACTACCCACAGACACAGAAAGAGTAGAACAATACAATCAAAGAGATGTGTTTAATTTTTTGTTACATAACAATTGGCATCAGTCAAAACCGGCCAGATACTGACTATTGCATTTTGACAGTTGGGTTGGTCATCTGTTAACAAGTGTAGCTTGGTGCCTTCATGGTTTACAGCCTGAGCTTAATTTTAAAATATAAGCTAGGTTAACACTGGCAAATCTGGGCTGCTCCAACGAAGAATCAAAGGTCAAACTGAATTTAACCAAAGCACAAGGGAATCTGCACAGACAACAAAATCCAAACAAAACTGGGAACCAATGAATGAATGTATTGTAAATGAGTTAACCCAGTCATCTGAACTTCAAAGGTTATCACCACTTTTTCTTTTACAATGCATTAACACCTGTGTAATTAACACCTGCACGCTACCCACAGTAACATTAACAAGCTTGGGCCTGGGATTTCTCGTTGGTCACAAGGGGAGTTGCAAGTTTCATTGTATTCTTCAGGTAATATACGTTTAGTGGGACCAGGCACTAAAATGAACAAGAAATTGAAGAAAACAAGGGTGGTCTAATAATTTTTTCCACGACTGTATTTATGGGCCTGACTGTATTTGGCCACAATAACCAGCAATATGTTTGGAGGAGTGAGGCTACAAACCCCAAGAACACCATACCTACCGCCAAGCATGGCAGCATTGGTAGCATCATGCTCGAAGGCCGTTTTGTTGCCAGTGGAACTGGTGCTTTACACAAATTAAATGGAATAATAAAGGAGGAGAACCTCCACACCTCTTAGGAACAAAAAATAAATAAATCATCAGCATGAAGAGTGGGTCCTGGACACAGACACACTTCAAAAGTTGTAAATAAAGACTAAATCAGGCTACAGAGTCATGACTCTAACCACATCAAAAACCTGTGCACTGTGATGAAGAAACAAGCTGGTGTCAGAAAGATCAAGATGTCAAACATACAACCAGAAGCTTCTCAAAAGCTTTTGCACGACCACCAAAAGTACCGAGTTGGGGTGAGAATGGCCAAGGGACATGAAAGATCACGAGACACGAGAGATCCAAAATGCACAATTGTTTGTTTTTGTGACAAAGACACGTGTTTAAATGACGTGGTCAAAAAAATTAAGAGTTATAGGCGTCACTGAAAACTCAAGATTGCCACGATATACATGGCAAACAAGTATGTGTAAACTTTTGTGTATGCTTGTTGAAGGAACAACATAGTGATTCCTTCTCCCTTTTGTCTCTAGTTGGTTCCTGTTTTGCCCCTCCCTCTCTCTCTCCTACTTTTGGGGGAAATTAGTTAACTTTGAGCTCAGTATGGCCAGAAAGACCCTTGTGATGTTCATCAGAGTATTGTTTTAAGATAGACTCAAACTTGTACCTTCCTCTAAGGAAAAACTCTATGCCTCTATGCTTCTGATATGTTACCTTGTGCAGACGGGTGACTTTCTCGCGACAGGCCTCCATCTCCTGCCTCAGCATCCTGTTCTCCTCTGCCAGTACATCCACCATCTGATTGGCACGGGTCATCATTGCGAATGGTTCCCCCTGCAGGTGGGAGAAGGAATGTGGCATGGGGTAATGTCCAGGCTGGATCGGCAGCTGGACTGGCGGAGGTCCTTGGATCTGTTGGTGCTGCTGCTGTTGCTGCTGTTGCTGTTGTTGTTGTTGTTGTTGTTGATATGGATGGTGCTGGTGCTGGTGCTGGTGCTGGTGCATCCTTGGGGTGGAGCCATAAGGGTCAAGAGAGAAAACATGACCCCTCTGTGATGTTGGGTGAATAGGCATTGGTGTGAAAGGCTCAGCCACATGGTGGGAGCCAGTACCCTGTGGGCTACGAGGGCCCATGCTAGGAAAGGGCTCTCCTTGGCTGTGGGATTGCTGGTGAGGGAAGGAAGGATGAGATGAGTGGGAGGCACTGAGCATGCTGCTGATGGTGGAGGACTGGGCACGAGACAAGGAGCCCACGGAGGTGACAGAGGAGGTGGGACTATGCTGGTGAAGGGGCCTCTGGGAGTGAACCAAGCCCTCCCTGCTGGACCTGAGGAGAGATCAGCTCTGCAGTTACACAGTATTTATCTTTGTTTTGATGTACAGAACAATGAACATGTTTTAAGCCAGCTAAAGTGGTCTATGATTTTTCTGTTTACTGACAGAGCCAGTGTGTGGCAAGTCTGAATGCATTTTGTGTATATTTGGCCATCGGCTGCCCCATATTCTAATTTTAATTATAATCATTGTTCACAGTGCACCAATTAGGAGAGAAATAAGATAGTTGATAGATAAAAATGTAAGGAGGAGGGAGACTAAAATGATGCTATATATTAATTTTAGATTGAGCATGTGCTGTCAGTGGAGTGATGATAATAATAAACAAAAACAAGCCTAAATATCACAATGTGGCAATTAGCCGTACGGTTCAGCTACTGAGGTGTTTGTAATATAACATTATGCTGTAAATTGTGATTAAAAGCAAGGTACAACTATCAATATAACAAGACCTTGGTAATAGCATAGAATCTATATATTTTTGATGTCAAACACTTTACACGTTTGACGTTTTCATACATCAGTGAACTATTGTTTACAACAAAAAAGCATTTAATCCGTCAATCCAATAAGCTGGGAGCAGTGATTCTTATAGTATTTTGGCTTGAAGAAATAGTAAAATGATTAATAAATAATGAAAATAAAGTACTGAGTAGTAGTTTCTTTAAACTGTAGTAAACTACTTAGCTCATAGCACAGTAATGCAATAGTTTTTACTTGCCTTACTCATCATGTCTGTCACTGCACAGCTCGTTGTCAACACAAGGCTGTTCTAAGTGCTTTGTTCAAGGGCACAAAAGAGGCATCTGTTTATGAAGAACAGTGTTCCAGTATTCCCTGATTCCTTTGAATATGAACCAGATGCCATTTATTCTATGCCTATGCCTTAAATTCATTTAATGTACAACTGAAATCAGATACACAACTAGAAATAGGGATAGGTGTCCAATGTTAACACTTACTACGTTAGAAAAACAAAAAAATCAGAATGTGTGCAGAGCATTACTGCATTGAATGCTTAGTCAAGTACTGTTGAGATGTTCTGTGGTCTGATCCTGTGCATTGTGCTGTTTTACATCAGATCTTATTAAGTTAGTGTTCTTGTCTGATTGATTTGCATTTAGACAGCTTTTTACCATTTGATGACTTCTTTTGTTTCATGAAAAAAGGGTTTTACAGAAAAAACACAGCCTGTGAAAAGTTTTGGTGTTAGTGAAACCAAGGACCAGTAATAGCACCAGTACTGATAACATTGAAAGAATACCTGGCATGATAACAGGACATATAACTGCATACTGAGCGGTTAACATCTACACATATCTACACATACAATATACATGTATGCACACAACGTATCGCCAGTAAGAGGAAATGGCAGTCAAGATGTGAACAAAGGTCATGGAGTAGCCAGCAATTGGGAGAAATGAGGTGGATAAGGGAGCCTAGAGGCAGTCAACACAACCACGACTATCTGACCCATCCAAACTTTATTCTATTAATTTTTTTATTCAAATAAGATTGCTTTGATTAACAAGTTTTAAATTGTTCTGCTGTACATTTTATGACCACGAGCCACTGCTTCAAAACAATGAGTGCATCATGGTAACAAAAACAAAAAGCTTGTACGGGTCCCGAACACACCTGCTCTGTATGAATGTGTGTGCAAGAGTGCAGCTAAGAGGCTGCATTCTGCCGATTAGAGGGTGGAGAGTTGGTGTGAGTGTTTGACAAATATTAGTAAAAATAATAAATACAAAAACATTTAGAATTGCATTGCATTGGATCAGAGCATCTCCAAACCTACATTCAAAGCATACGGTTATGTTAAACATTATTAATAGGTGTCCTGTGTTCTGTGAAAGTAAATATTTTATTGCTACGGTGCATATTTTGTGACAGGTTGTTGCATTAAGGCTGTAGACACCCTTTACTCATGGCTGATTCACCTGTTGTTTGCTTGCTCACAGAGCAGGACTTGTTTTTGAGCAAGGTGGGAAAACACCACTGTCAATTGACTTTGTGTAGAAAAATTCCTACCTTTAACATTCAGAGAGACGTCATCAAAGTCAAGCAGATCATGTCCCAGCTCGTCCTGTCCTGATGATTAAAATTCTGTGGTATTCATGTCTGTTTAAATCTGGTTTGCTCTGACATAAATAAGACTTAGGGTGAACAGGCCCAACAGGATCTCTTTATCGTCTCACAAAATACTATTGAGAAACTATGAAAAGGTCTCACTTCTTTTTTTTCTTTTAGTCTATTGGAAGCTAAGTCATAAATTCTGTTCATTTTTAAGGAGTGTAACTGTGAAATAATGCATTGCAATTTAAATATTAGCAAACACACACCAAGATTGCCACTGAGATTGATTTTAACTTTAAACTGCAACTGGAAAGAATGGAGATCACACAGTTTTCCCCATAAATGGTAGCTGGCAGAGTCTCAAAGCAAAATTAGGATTCATCTGTACTTGTATTTATGTCCACCTTACTAATGAAACTGACCCAAAAAGCAAATGTGAAAGTAAAAGAAGGTCTGAGCAGTGCTGGGCCATACATTTCATTCACTAGTTATTTATAGGTTTTTAAAATATTCAATACCAAAGTGGCTTTGGGAGTGCATACTGTGTGTGCGAATGAGGAATATCTGTGTTCCTTACCTGAATGAGCCATAGTCAGGTGGAGGCTGGTATCGGACATGAGGCACCTCCCTCGAATGTTCTCTCCCTCTCTGCTCCTGGTAATAGTGGCCTCCAGGCTCTTGCTGTTTGGTGGGGGAACCCATTCCTTTGAAAGGGTAGTCTGGAGGTGGGCCGCGATGCTGTGATTTGTAATAGTCACCAGGTGGCCCTGGAGGAGGCAGTGGGGGTGAGAGTGGGGTGCTGGTAACAGGAGCGTGAGCCTTCACGCCACTGGTTGCCAATGAGAGCTGCATAAGTCGCTCACTGAGAGACCGAACGTGCCCTTGCTTCAGATCCTTCAGTCCATCATCCTGGTGCACCTTTCCTGCGCCACTCACTCGTTGCACTGTGGGGCGACCCTCAGTGCGTACCTTGGCACTGCTCACCCCAGTGACATAGAAGGCAGCACCCACTGAGGTGGGAAGAGGAGGCTGCTGGACCTGGCTGCTCTGCTGCTGAGGCTGAGGAGGAGGAACATGGCCACGAAAGTATTGTGACTGCACTTTGGCCTCTTCATATGTAGGGAGGTCCTCGGAGTTCGGACACTGCCCTTGGTTGCTCCCACCACCTCCACTGCTACTTCCTCCTCCTCCGGTCCCTAGACCTCCTCCCCCACCACTGTTTCCTCCCCCTCTGGTGGAGCCCAGTTTTTCCAAGCCATTGTCTGTCTGCAACTCCTGTCCTTGGGGCTCTTGTCGAGCAATGTGTGGAGTCATGGAGTGGTCATCCGATGGACCAACCTGTCCCTGTACTGAGTAACCTCCTCCACTTCCACCTCCTGCGCCTCCTCCTGCTTGTTGTTGTTGTTGTTGCTGCTGTTGCAGCACATAGTTCCGGTTTATCTGCTCCTGCAGGAGGCGCTGTAGAACGGTGCTGCTACCGCCTCCTAAACCGTTGCTGCTGTTGGAGGATTCTTCGGTCGCGGCCCTCATCTCCACCTCGCGCTGGCCCCGTACCTCATGGAAGGACAAGCTCCGCCCACGGTCTATTCTCCCTGACAGGAATATGGGAAAGTGCAAGAAAGAATGAGAAAATAAAAGCAATGTAACGAAGGGATCAAAGAAATGAGTTTCATAAGGGTGAATATTATGGGAAGTAGAAGATCCAAGAGAGTGACAGTGAAGGGCAGAGAGGGTGAAGAGCAGAAGAACAAGTACAGGCTCAAAGCATTCAGGTCAGAGATGCACACGGAACATCCACCACCACTTGACCCTGCACACACGACACAGTGGAACAAGAAGAACAATGTCTGAAAAAACCAAAGAGCCACACCAGCAGCCCTGAACCCTCAAACCCAAATCACCAACACAGCAAATATCAAGACAAACTGTTTCAACCAAAGAATGATGACTGTAGCCACTGTCTAGCGCCTATTGAAAGTAAACACCTTCCTTGAAAGCTTATTGCTTTTTAACATTGAATTTTGTTGAATATAATTGTTGTTTTTGTTTGTTTTTCTTTTAAATTCCAAATAAAAACTCTGTCATGCCAAAGTGAAAACAGATTTCTACAAAGTAATGTCAAATAATTAAAACTATAAAATGTAAAATAAGTAATTGCATGCATTACAGCATTGAGCCTGTGTAAATAGGTCTCAATGAGCCTTGCACATCTGGACAAAGCAGTTTTACCCGATTCTTACTGTGATGTGTCCCAATACAAACACACAAGGGAGCAGAAAACAATTTGGCATCGTTTACAGTAAAACTACTAAACGACAAGGGTGCCTATCCTCTGGACTGCCTTTTGGTTGTTGAAGGACAAAAGTAGAAACCGTTTTTTACCTGATGTGACAGAATACATGAATGTAAAACGTCAAAGCCTTTCAACATCAAAGAGACTTTGTGAACTACATCTGCACAACTATAACATTAGGGTGCCAACTAATAGATATTCTCATTACCAATTATTCTGGGATTTTTAATCTATTAAATGGCAAGAACTAATGAAAATGACATGAGTTCACAGTCTAAAGAAAGACTGATCACTTTACTGTAACGGGAATTCAGCCAAAAACAACTGTATAACATGACATCAATCACAAAACACTGGAAAAGATGTTAACAGATTACATTAATCGACTGTGGCACATAAAATAGTTCTACAAATGTTAAACATTAAAATAAAACCCAAAAACCCACAATGATTTGGATATTCTCACAGTGGATTCTAAGACATTTGGTTGGAAATGTTCACACAGAATTTAAGACTGAAACATGTGTTTTCAGTTAAACATCTAACGCTGTCAAAGCTGAAACCACCTGGGTATATTTGATATGAAGGTCCAAATCAAAGAGTCAAGTTTCTCATCTACTGAAAACAATAAAAGTCCCACACGTATTCAATTCAGAGGTCTAAACTCAAGACATTTCTTTTTTTTAAAAAAATAAAATCTTGGTTAGTCTTGAGAAACAAACTAAATATGTTTACTTTATAAATTAAAATGTTGTATGTTTTGGACTGATCCGTGTACAGCTTGCATCTATATCCATGTGGTTTCTTCTGACAACGCTGAATGTTAATAACTCCATAGTTTTGCACCTTGTTCTACAGAGAAAAAAGGAAATCATTACATCTAGTGCTTTCTGTTATCCTTCTCATTCTCAAGGAGGAAGATGCTTTTTTCCGAAACATCTGTAAGTAAATAAAATATGAGACAAAAGATAAAATGTTAGCTTTGGTGGGATGTCTGCAGATGGTATATTCTCTTCAAGCTGAAGAGACAGAGACACAAAAAAAAGAAGTGTTTATGAAGTACAGTGGGCTGGGTAGTGGAAATTAAGATGCACAGAAGATATTTTTTAATTGAAATACACACACAAGAAAACAAAGAAAACCAAAACGCCTAAGACTGCCAACCCTTTCAAAGTCTATCAACATTAAAACTGATAAAATGATGTTTTTGAAGATAAAATGCACCCCTTTCATCTTGGGATGCTTTAAACAGAACTAGAGTTTGAGGCTCACTGTGCTTTGCTGCATCTGCTAAAACGTGTTTAGAAATAATGCTACACCTTTATGTGGATGGAAATCAGACATTAGCTGTAGTTCTGGTGTTATAAACATGTTCTAAAGTAGAATCCTGACATTTTTTTCTGCAATTTCCATGTTCCAGCTATTAAAATGCAACTTTTGAAAACTAGGAGACAGCACAGAGGCAGCACTGTTTACAGTCCCATGTACATTTGTTTTAATTTCCACAGATGTCTAAAGTGGTTTGGGAAATCTGGTTTAGCTCTTAGGTAGTGAACAAGGGGTTTTCACTGCAATTACATGTAAGTATGTCAAAACATTACAGACAAAATGTATCTGTTTGGGTTATTTTTTGAATCAGCTAGTCATACAGATCCATATTTGTTAAGCGATTAAAAAGGTGGAAAAAAGAAAACTAGTCATTACAATGACCATGAGCATGCAGGCTGTTCAGAGTCAACGAACACAATTAACAGTTAGCAATTCTGCAGCCAAAGCTTTCATGCTGACAGAAAGATACAGAAAGATACAGAAACTCCAAGGAACTCCATGTTGGCTTGGTAAATGTGCCATTCATAGAAAACATGATCCACAGTTCAGACAGTACATTACCAATTCCTGCAACAGTATGCCGTTTAGTTTGACAGTTCTGAGACACAGATACCCCAAGAAGTCTGTAAAGGTTCTCAGTCATCCAGGTCATGGTTATTCTCGTAGTTTAATCATAGCAACTGGACTTGCTTGAGTTCCTTCAAGACGTTCCACCTCTCATCGAAGAGGCTTCATCAGTTCTGACTGACTAGTTGGGAGTTCCAGGTACTTATATCCTTAAGGAGCCATTAACACCTGAATTTCAGTTTCAATTGGGGGTTTGTTACTCCTCCCCCTCGATGGAAGTATCTGAAACTCCCAACTAGCCTCTTGGATGAGAGGTGAAACGTCTTCAAGGAACTCAAGCAAGTCCAGTTGCTACGATTAATCTACGAGAATAACCCAAGAAGGACGCTTAGCTCAGCGTACACAGGAAGGAAAAAGGACATAAGTGTTTGGAAGGTGTATGCATGTGGCAATAAAACAACTTTACTGTTTGTACAAACTACCACAGGTACCATAAGGAAAATAAATACAAGTCTGACAGGTCTGGAAGTTGGTCAGTGCTGGAGGATGTTTGCAGAACACTGAAAGCTTTGAAGTTTTTGGCAAATTGTGTGTTAGAGGTACAAACAAATGACCAGTGTGGTGATGTAGTTTCTGATATAGGTAGTTTAATGTGAAGCATGGCATACTGTAGGCTTAAACTATTATTTCAACTATATCAGCCCTTATATTTATGTTTTGTTTTCCACTACACAGCCCTGTAGACTGTAGATGCATACTGTCTCCAACATACTTCAACTGCCATTTCCTGCAGTTCATCCCCCAAATCTTCTCCCTCTGACTTGCCCTCTGCACAGCCAGCTAACAGGAGGACAAGAGAAGGACAAGAGAACAAAACAACAGATAAGGAGAGCTGTGACAGGGTGAGATGGCACAACATTTCACACAATTAAAGGCAAGGTAGGCAGCAACTTGTTTTTGCTTTTCTGTACTATTTATTACTTCTGAGCAATCTCCTCTAATCTGCTTTTATTCCAGGTTAGGATCTCTGACACTTCCTGTGGAGCTAAGGTGAAAATATTTGATGTTTATGCCGACGACTGGAATACTTTAACACTTGTCCTCTCTTGAATGCTACGAGCAACAGAATGAACAGGTTAGGTAGAATTAATTACCACTGTGTTTAGTTCAAGAGGATACTAAAGACCGTTTCAAAATGCTGTTGAGACAATATTCACAAGTCCTTAAGGAGGTATAGACAAGCAAAATGGTGTTTTGAAATAAAATGTATTCTATTCTATCTATGAGTTCAAGATGAATAATGATGGATTTATAATTCTGTGAATGATATAATGTAGGTTGTACTGAATGACAATATGCTTCTCTACCCTATTTTACTTAATTGTAAATTTAACGAGTTGAGCTGTTGTGTTTGTGGTTGTTGTGTGTATAAGTGTGACTGTGCGTATGTGTGAATAGCCAATGCTTATGTTGGTGCTAATGAGGATCCTAATAAACGAAATGAAATGAAACAACTAGCCAATCAAAGCAGAGTATAAATCAGGCACTGAGAAAAGGCTTAATTATTAAAGAAGCTGTAAACGAGTTGTATGAAGTTGTACATTTACATCCAGGATTAGTCATCTAACAGGACGGTGTGTTTGAGACCCACCACACTACCTGAATGCATTCCTTGTAGAAACTTTTGCAAAGCTGTTGTTGGTGCAAACATGGTGTTTTCACCAGACATAGTAACTGATATTGTACTTATACCATTTGTCTGACACCACTGACTCCGTGCTTTCATTTAGATGGCTCGACTACACTGCATTAGACGTTTCTTGTGTAATTATAAGGTAGTTTCCTGCCTTACTTGAAGTACGTATCCAACTGTGTGCATTTTGTACCACATGACTTGTCCTAGATCCTCTTCGGCCCTTTCCATCTCCTCTCCTCTTCGCTGTCCCTCTGTTATCTCCACTACATTTCCTCTTCCTTGTTTCTGCACTCTCATATTCACCTTTGACTTCCTGTTTTCTACCTGCATGTCCTCAGAACCAGATTCCCTGAAACATCTTACTTTTCCAAAACTCCAAAGTGTTCTCACTCTCAATACCCACCTGTGTGGCTGCTCTCACTGTGCTCTCCAGAAGGCGTCAGTGGAACCAGCTACTCATGTTGCGATGGGCCAGCAGGTCCACTACGTGGCCCGGAGCAATGGGGCTGATGATGTAGTTGCAGGTGTATGATCAGTGTAAGGTGGTACAAGTCTGGTGGCAGCAGGCTGTTCCTTGCTCCAATGCATAAATGTAGTGTCCAGTGTCGCTAGGCAACAAACACGCTGGATAGGGAATAATTTAAGATAATATTTTATTGCCACGCAGAACACAAGAATAGGAGACTAAAGTTGTGGATGTTGGTGATACCTTTCCAAAGAGACCAGCAATTTTAATCTCATAGATTATTTATGCTCAGCAACCATTAACTCGAATGAGAACTGGTGTCATTTTAGACTGTAAAATACAAGCTGCACCCTCCACTCTTCAATACGTTCTTTAATGACGACCATATCAATGTAGATACAATCTGTGTTATAATGTGATGATCAGATAGGCTGATGATCTGACCACCAACTTGAAACATGTGAAGGTCTGTGATTGTTTTTTCCATGAAATTCTTAACTTTCAAGAGGCAGCAGATATTATAGAATTACAAATATGTCATTACAACTATCCTCTCCTGCTAACCTTTCCCTCTACAGCGATTCAAACACTTATCTGCCTTCCAGCTTTCTGTAGTAAGATTGTTAAGGTGTTTAACATTTCAGGAACATGATTTTTATAGATTCTTATCCAGCAAGGGTAACACAAATCGTTAATTCTTCTCCAAAAGCTACAGTTCCTGTGATATTTCTGTGTGGGTAAATGTTTTTCTATGTCCCCAGTTCTGTTTCAAGGCAACCTAAACCCAGGAGGTGTCTGTCTGCTCCTCTCCTGCGGGACGCGTACCGGCGACCTTCTTCCTGCGAGGCGACGGTGCTAACGATGGAGCCACCTTGCAGCCCTGAAGCACAACATGTCACATGAAAACAAAGTGACCCACTCAGTCCTTGTTTATTGGTTCCAATTCACTCTTAAAGTTTCACTCTTCACCATTTCTCAGTGTCCCTAAGCATTCCAGTTTCAACAGAGATCTGACCTGTGGGCATATGATCAAAGTTAGTGGTAACGGTAGCCACATTAGTCACACAATGTGCTTCCACTAAGGATTGTCCGATTGTTGTGATGATATTGCCATCAATAATAAGAGTAATCCACTGGGTCTTCAGTTCCTCAGCTGCTGGGAGTACACAAGGACTCTGTCGACTCTTGTAGCCAACAGCTGAATATCTGACGTGCTTTGCTCATGGCACCACATTATCATTCTGCCGCAGGGGGGAAAAATTTAGCTAGTTTGTGATTCTGTAAACCAATATCAATTGTCTTGCATGAGACGAAGCAAAAGATGCTGCGACTGTGTCTCTGTAAATAGTTACAAGGAGAAACGTATTCTGGTTGAACAGCTTAACATGCAGAGACAAAAACTTGACCCTAATCACACACCAAAAGTGGTAAGAAATGGCTAAATCAGGCTAGAATTAAGGTTTTAGACTGGTCTCTCCAAAGACGTGACCTAAACCCAACAGAGAACCTGTGGACTGTGCTTTTTTTTTGTGTTTTTTTTTTAAAAAGGCAGCCTCAAAAAGTCAACTAATTTAGTTTAGCTGTGCCAAGAGAAGTGGTCAAAGTGAAACCAGAAGCTTGCAGACAACTACTGAAAGCACTGAGGTAAAACTAGCCAAGAGATGTTAAACCAAATATTAGCATTGCTATATGTTTAATTTTGACCCAGCAGATTCTGTCATATTTCAAGAAGACCTACTATTATTTATGAAAGAACTAAAATGCATGATTGTTTGGGTTTTAATGATTCCATTGTAGAAAATTAAGAGTTACAAGAATCATTGGAAACTCAAAACTGCCACGATACATATGGTCTTTCCAAGTGTATGTAAACTATGTAAACTCGTACCTAGGGTATAGAGCCTGGCAGATTTCAAGGTCACTAACATACCAAACTGATCATCTGTAAAAATGGGGCCTCGTGTGTTCCAATCTCCTCTTCCCAGGCCAATGTATTAAATCAAGGCTTTTTGGACACAAAACCTCTTTGATATCCACACACTCAGTCCTCACAGCACAAACCTGAATTTAGCTCCTATCCTTACTTTCTGTTTTTGTAATCATTACTAAAAAATGGTTTGGAAAATGCTCCTACCTGTGTGGCTTCCTCAGAAAGTCTTTCATCTTCTCCTTAAATCAATCCGAGTAAAAAAAAAAAATCGGTGTGTGTGTCGCTGAGAGTCTCGCTACAATCTGCCTCTGTTGTGCACCTCTCTTTCCATTTCCCACTCACACATTCCTCCCTCCCTCTGACGAGTAGGGCTGGAAGGTAGAAGACAGGTGGATTTGGCAGCCATTCAGCTTTGTGCCACACCTTTATACTTGTGCACTATTGCTTTACCAGCACTTACTTTGTCAACCGTCATTCAGAGAAATACTCAAGACCATAACCTCCCTTTTCCCCTTTGACTCCATTAACAACAGGGATATGTTTCCAGTTTAGACAAGTTGTAGCAATAAAACTCATCCAAAGAGACTTCTCTGAGCAGATAGAGGCTTTGCTTTTTAAAAAATTACAGATAATGTAAACAGTAGGGAAAACATGCACGGCCCAAATGCAGCCACTCGGTGCAGTTTAACATAAGTAAGTATCAGATTCGGCAGATTAGGACACAAGACACGTAAAGAGACCAATAAAATGTGAGTCAGCAGAAGTGTCTAGACATGTGCTTGAAACGGTTACCAAATGGTTTCAGCTATTTCAGACAAAACATTGGATAGTCTCACACGCTGTGCTCCTGTGTATACCGTCATGCATATATCGTAGCTTCAGTGGATGCATTGCTGTTATTTTTCTGGCATGCATATAAAATCTTTAAAGATTGCTGGAATAAAAACCGACATCCCCTCTTTGATACTGAAAGACATTCCTGTACAACTCTGACTAATTAAAACTGTTCATTCTTTCACTGTCATGGCCTTGCCTCAGGGCAGACACATGTCTTATACATGCAGTAGGCACAGTTCGCCTTTGAATGTTAGTAGATCAAGCACAGAAGAGAGCATTGTTTGCTTAGTCTCATTTCATGTTTTTTGCTTTAACACTTCACCTTTCTGACTTTCTCTATTTTAGGTGAACTCCTAAAATGCAGCCCTCCTGCATTGTGTTTTATCTTTTTCCAGCAGACTAAATTTCTTTGGTGTATCAGCTACACAATTTCATCTGGAATCCAAATGTTTACTTACAGGTCTAGTGAAAGGACAGTAGCTGTTCCCATGCAAAATGATGTCACGTCTCTATTCAATTAAACAAGAATGCCAAATCAAGGTTAGTGCAGTCTTTGTTATCGATTAATAAAGTGACAGAAACAAGTCAAAACAGACATGACTCAAATTAGGTGGTGCAATTACAAATTGACACAGATAGGAACCTAACCTCAGATATTTAAACTGTCAAGAGACAGAAATCATGCTCAACAATAAAGCTTCCAAAATTGCGCCCAGTCGGAAGAATGAAGAACTTGTTTTGCCGCATATTTGGTTAATGAACGTTGCTCGGACAATAGAAACATCCTTAACCAGGGAGAGTTTGGTTACCGTCTACTTTGTCTCTTAGGAAACACCCTGCTGTACATTCAGCCTCTGGCTACTTCCCAGTAAAATCACATTTTTTCTCCGACTTTTTCAATAGGCAGTTTACATGAGCAATGCAGCAACTGCTGAGCGAATCTACTTACTGCCAAGGGAAGGCACAAGTGTTGACTCAGACCAGCAGCCTGATGTGCAGGCCATCTCTGCCTTTAAAGTGACCCTCTATGCATATAGATAAATGGACATTAGCAGTAGATCTTTTGATTCAGTTCAATTCAGTTTAATTCATATAGCACTAAAAAAAGTTACCTCAAGGCACTTTACATTATAAGGGCTTACAAAATTATACCACTGAGAGAAACCAAGAAAATCTAAATCCAAATTGATCTGACGTGTTTTTCCAGCACATTCCACAGATGCTCAATAGGGCTGAGATATGAGGAGTTCGGAGGCCAAGTCAACATGTTTTCCTTATTTTCATGTTACTCAAACCAATCCTGAATCATATTTGCCATGCATGGTGCATTATCCTGCTGAAAGAGGCCTCTGCCATGTGGGAATACTGTTGACATGAGGTGTTTGTGTGTTTGCTGTGGGAAGCAATGTTTAGATAGGTGGCATGTGAGAAAAGCAACAACCACATGAATGCCAGGAACCAGTGTACCCTGCAGAATGTTGCCCAGAGCATCACACTCCCACTGCTGTAGTCCCTTCCTCCCATAATGCTGCCATCTCTCCCCAAGGTTTACACACCCACCCAGACATCCACGTGATATGAAAGAAAACGTGATTCATCGGACCACACCAACTTCTTCAATGGTCCAATACTCCAGTATGGACACTCATCTGTCCATTGTATGCACTTTTGGCAGCGGAAAGGAGTCAGCATGGGCACTCCAACAGGTCTGTGGCTAAGCAGCCCCATACAAAGCTGTTCTGACACCTTTCTGTCATAGACTGCATACATTTTTTTTTCAGTACTCTGAATATTTCCCTTTTAATTGCTTTTCAACATTGAATCATCCATCCATCCATTATCTATACACCACTTAATCCTCACTAGGGTTGCAGGGAGGCTGGAGTCTATCCCAGCTGACTTAGGGTGAAGGCAGGGGACACCCTGGACAGGTCACCAGTCCATCACAGGGTTACACCAGTCAACCTCAGCATGTTTTTGGACTGTGGGGGGAAGCCGGAGCTGCACGGGCAGAACATGCAAACTCCACGCAGAAAGATCCTTGGTGTCCTCACAGGAACCGGCGACCTTCTTGCTGCGAGGCAACAGTGCTAACCACCACTCCACCTGGCAGCCCCAACATTGAATTATAGTGAATTCAATTTGGCTTTTGTTATTAGAATTCACAAAATGAAAACAGATATTTACAACATAATGTCAACTAAATAAAAATGTAAAATCTAGAATACAGTTCACCAGAAGGCATGAGGGAGACTCTGAGGTCAACTAGAAGATTCTTTGGTTAATCCGATGAAACCAAAATTGAGCTTTTTGACCATCAGACTAGATGCTTGGCGCATACCAAACACTGCACATCATCACAAACACACCATCCCCACCATTAAGGAAAAGGCAGCATCGTGATGCGGGAATGTTTCTCAACTGTAGGCACCGGACAGCTTGTAAAGATATCATGTAAAATGATGAAATGAAATGCAGCAAAGAATGAGGAAATCCTGGTGGAAAACCTGATGTAGTGTGCAAGGAAACTGCAACTTGGGAGAAGATCAGGTTTCAAGCAAGACAATGATCTGAGGCATCCAGCCAAAGCTAAACAGAAATGAAAAGACTACAAGGTGAATGTTCTAGACCGGCAAAGTCAGACCTCGGACCTCAATCCAACTGGAAAATTGTGGCTGGACTTAAAAGAAAAAGGGCTGTTAACTAACAATCCCAGCGTAACAGACGTTAAGTCAAAGATCAACGAGGTAAAACTGCACTGTCCAGATGTGCAAGGCGGCTCATTGACCACTTTTGATAGATACTAACCACTGCATACCTGCCACACCCCACAAGACCTGCCGTTTTGGAAATGCTCTGACTCAGTTGTCCAACCATTCCTTGTCAGAGACACTCCTTCCTATTTTTCTTGCTACCAACACATCAACTGGCTGTTCACTTGCTGTCTAATCCATCACACCGCCTGACACATGCCGCCATAATGAAATAAGCACAGATATTCTCCTCTATTAGTTTAATGTTGTGGTTTACTGGTGCATTCTTTTAAAACAGATTTTAATGTCAGGTTTTAAGAGGGGATTACCATTGCACTACA